ATGATGTTTAAAAAACATGTTCAATGCTTTTATTAAAAATACTTTTAGTATATCTTGCATAAATATACAAACCGGGATTGTTGATTCTATCAAAATATTGAGTCAGATTGAGATAGACTATATGCGTCGTTCACATTGAAATTATTCCATTGCTAATTGACGGCATAACTCGTTGCGAAGTGCCTTTCCCATTTCACTGTCTTGAGAGATATTTTCATCTTCGACATGTACATACATATTGAATTTCTGCAATGAGATCTCTCTCATTCTCGGGCGGCTCAAATATTGCAAGATCATTTACATTTCCCAAATTGTGTAAGACACAACACGCATGGATTATTTTAACCATTCGTACAATGTGTCTCAACTTAAAATGGTATAATTGGCGAAATCGTTGCTTCGGACATTCAAATGCATTTTCCACCACGACACGACACGAACTCAATCTTGCATTGAAATTTCGTTGTGCATGTGTTAAGTGACAATTGTCTTTATAAGGGATAAGCAACTTGTGCAAGCATGGATATGCACTATCGCCTAACAAATTGCCATCTTCTGAAAATGAAAAAAAAATATCTATGATAAATATTATTAAGTAGCACGGAAATTGCAATTACTGTTACTGTTACAAAACTAACCACCACACATTTCATTAAGAGACTGATATAATGGTGACTCTCGAAACACTCTTGCATTATGCACTGATTCAGGGTATCCGATAAAAACATCCATGAATCGCATTTCATGATTTACTTCCCCCTGTAGATGTAAAGAGAAGTAGTGTTTCCGATTCAAATAAGAATCTTTAACTTCCAAAGGTTTGTCTATTTTTATGTGACATCCATCTATCGCACCTGTAACCAAAACAAAAATTGCATTTTTTCTCTTAAAAGTATATGCAGCATTTTAATTATTACCTATAACGCCAGGAAATCTTTTCCTTCGGACATAATAAGCTTTAGTTATATCTCTTTCCTCTTGACTTGGATATCTTATAATATCAGGAGCAATCGATAGTAAAAAGTCGGTTACTCTGGTAATAACTGCAAACAGTGTACTTACAATTAATGCAATTCCAAATCTGTCTGCGACATCACGATACGATGCTGTTTGATGGCCAACAAACCATAAAAAGGTTAGCACGTGTTTCTCAGCGGACAATCGTTCATTACCCGCATCACCTGTAAGAATTACAATTGTATATAGAATTCTCACGTTTACAATATTTTTTAATATTGGTACGCTATATTGTAGAATCATTACCTTCCAGAGCAACATAAATTTCTGATGTTGAGAAGTGTAAAACCAATTCATCGACCATTCCACGAGATAGCCGAGAATGCATTATAAAATCTTGATCTGTATAATTATGAACAATGTTCTCAATATATTTCATAATTTTTACTCTTTCAATCCTTTGAATTTCGTTTAGCACTGGATGCAGAACACGAACAACATCGTAATCTATATATAAAATAAAATTAAACAATCATAAGTTGAAGTTAGGTTTAACCCGTAGAACTCTGTTGCTTCAAATAAACTTATATACTTCATATCTTATACAAATAAATACTTACTATCATCACCATTTGCTAGAAGATGTAATGGAGGAAGCATTGCATTTTCATTTTCATCATCATCCGATTCGAATAACTCCAAAATCGCATACTGTCCCGCTAAATCGGCCATCTTGTACTTTCTTGAGTTTTCTGGCGTTCGGGACGGTGACGAAACTGTATCTACACTTCTGCACCTTTCAAGAAAAGTGTAGTACACTCATTACACTCGAGTGCAGAAAGTGCAGACAACGTGAACAAACCTATTGTTTCCTTACGGGCCCCGGAACCTGACATCTCGCGCGAGTTTGATTTCTCGTTCGCGTCGTTTCGCCAAATCGAATTGCGATTTCGAACATTTATAAAAATTGTTTTCGAACGCAGCGTATCTATTAAAAAAATTGTATTTATTGATTGCTAAAACCGTGTTGTACATTTTATATTCACCTGGTGTGGTACATTTTTTACAATTCTTATGCATCTGGACAGAGAATCTTCCACTTTTTTAATGAACGATCGCTCCCTCGCGTATCAATTTCTTGTGGAATTTTTTGTCTAGAGTCCGACTCGGTTCCTTACCATCGTGTCGTTACAGACCTCGAAGTATCTTGACGCGCGCCGATTTAAAGTTTTCGTTCGCGCCGTTTCGCCAACTCGTATTGCGGTTTTGTAATATTTGTAAAAATTGTTTCCAAACGCGGGCCTGTCGATTTAACAAATTTTATTCACGCATTTCATGTACCGAAATCGTACATTTTAGAGCTATCTTATCTGCCACAGACTTTTGATAATTATTTTACATCGTGACGGAGATTCTTTCACTATTGGAGGAGACAGTGGCTCTCTCGTGTGTAAATTTTTCGTGAAATTAGTTTCCGAACTTGACGACGCTGTTCGTCGCCGTTGTTTCCTTACCGTGCGTTCCCCCGTAAGTTAAGTGTCGTCCCTTTTCCGTATCTTGAATAGTGAGGAACTGAGCTGTCGAAATGTCGAAACGAAAAACATTAAATGCAATGCCTAGTAGACATCGTAGGCGGTTGATAGCTTGTCGGCACCGTGCAGAAGGTTTAGGACAAGTCCTTCTCGCACCAAGTATCAAATTAGGCGGAAATTCGTCGTCGGCGATTTCGAAAAGTTCGTTCAAAAATGTTGGCGGCGCTTCGGGTTGTAATGCCGTAGGATCGTGCAATCCTTCAATGTCTTCCAATCGAGCAGGTTTGGAGTTGGGCATGGGTTTAATTCAGGAAGACGTAGTTATCGCAGCTCGGGGCCGTAGCCTTTGAGCTGATAATGCCATTGGTAGTTTTCGTCACGATTCGGCCTCTTGGAGCGTTTCGTGCAAAGTGAAGCACAATCACTTGACTTCATTACTCTCTTTTTACAAATTCATCATCCGGAACACGACTTGCTTCGTAATGGAATTGCACTGCTACAAACTCCTCGAGATGCGAGAGTGAATGATTTGTACCGGGTAAGTATTGTCACTTTAGATTAGAAACAGGAATTCGCTATTATCTTATGAGTAACACGGATGCGAACGTTGTCCTCGCCCGAATTTAAATAGGAATTAACGGTCTTTCCATTAGTCGTAGCAATTCGAGTCAGCTTTGGCCCATTCTCGGTTGCGTGCTACCCGACAGTCTCATGTTTTTAATCGGATACTGCTTCGGCGAAGAAAAACTGTCTTCCGCTTTCGATTTCTTGCATTGCTTTGTCCGGGAAGCCGAAGATCTGACCGTAACAGGTGTCTGTTTCGATAAGGGACAGATAAAAGTGTCGATCCATTCCGTTATATGGGACGCAGTCACGAAATGCTTCATCTTAATGACAAAGGGACATGACAAATACTCAAGTTGTTCAAAGTGTACGGCGGAGTGGGAATACTTTGAAAGAAGAATGTGTTTCCCCAAAATGGACTGTCCTCTGAGAACCGACTACGGCATGCGTGCTGAATTGGATGCGAATGGCGAAGAAAATTACCGACTTGGACTGAGCCCATTAGCTGCAATTAGTGACTTCGGACTGGTATCTCAAGTCCCGTTAGACTATATGCACGTCGTGTGTATTGAAGTCGTCAAAAAATTGATTACCTTGTGGTTCAAAGGTCCCTTTAAAAGTCGTTTCTTAACGTCGCGGAACGCGTCCGTAGTGTCTGGGTATTTCGAGCATGCTAGATCTCATATACCGGTAGAGTTTTCTCGAAAACCTCGGAGCATCAAAGAGTATGCCACGTGAAAAGCCACCGAATTCAGACAATTCTTATTGTACACCGATCCCGTAGCTTTGATGGCTCTAGCCGATGAAAATGACGACATCGCCACAAACTTTCTCACCTTGCACATCGTGATACGTCTGTTAAGTGTCCCGCAAAATTCGGATACCATCGAATGCGCCAACTCTTTGCTTAGGCATTTCATATCCTATTTCGCAGTTTTGTTCGGAAGGCAGTACGTATCTCACAAATTCATGGTTTGATACACTTGGCCTTGGATGTTTCCAATCTCGGTGAACTGGATGGGTTCAGTGCGTTTCCATATGAGAATTTCTTACGTCACTTGAAAAGTTTAATACGAAAGCCGGAAAACCCGTTAGAGCAAATCAGTAAACGTTACGCCGAGCTCGTTCGAATATAATTGCGTAATCGTCATCGATATTCCAGTAGGGGGGATGTAAAGGCGAAGGGTGAACACAGCGATGGTCCCCTGCTAGCGGATTGTCGAGACCCGTAGTTTCGCATTCTTCAGTTCCGTACCCTTCCTGCTGGTACGCGCGAGCCCGATAACTGTTTCGTTTTCTCCAGTGACATCGTCGCTATTCACAATTTTGCCACTACAGCCGACGGAAAATTGGTTGCTGTAATGTGTAAATTCTTATCGGTCGAAAGCTTGTATCATGATCTGTGCGATTCGTTCCTGTTGGGCATATATCGTATTCGCGGTCTGTCCACCCCATCTTGCTGGGAAGTCGAAGAAATCGTTGCAAAGTGTGTGAAGTTATCGCTACCGACCAGTCGCGATTCTTATGCCATCGTTCCTCTAATTCATAATAACGAACAGAGTGAATTTTTCAATGCATAGGGTTGCACTTCTTCGTTTCCGCGCCAATTAGCGGTTGCTTAACTAACTCCAGAACTTCGGCCTTAAGATTCCTTTGGTCGCATGGTAATTCGTCGTCGTCGTGTGCGTCGAAACGGTCGTGTACTGCGGGTAAGTGATTACTTTCAGAATTCATGGTGTAATAGTACGGATTAGGCCGTGCAATATGCACCGTCTTTTCCACACTGTCGTGAGTCCGAGCCGCGTCAGAATTTTCCGGGAAAATTAAATCACCGGTTTCCGAGGTGCGAAGACCCGAGTAAGAGAGAGGCAGGCGTGCGAATTAGAGAAGGATCGCTTTGTCTCGTGCCGCGCAGACAATGTTTCGGTTTCTTATAGGTCTAAGCGTCGCTCGCTCAACTGATCGAGGCCGAAATTCCGAATCGAACTCGTGTTTCGATATCTCGAACGCTTTGAGATTCCTAAACAACTCTGACTGATGAACATGTAGCTATTTTTACTTTGTTGTGCTGGATTTAGTTGGGATTGGAATGGAACTCTCAGATTGACGTTTTATCTCATTAGAGTACGCCAACTGTTCATCATCGAATCCGGATAAAAAGGATTCAAGGTGTGGGTACGATTGGGTTGGTTTCCTAGTATTTCGGAATCCTATTAATTTAGTAATTTCTGATTTTAGAAAATTCCTGAATTAATGAATTCGATCCCTGGAGTATTGCACTACCAGTGTTAGTCTCAACTTAATTTAGGTTATCCAGTTTCGGATATCCACTGGTCTTAGGGTTTTGAGGTTTGAAAGGATATGCTGTTGTAGGTTCTTTGTTTTTGCACTTCTTCGTGCTCCGATTCTTCTAATCGACTGTGAAAGTTCGGCAGATCGAAGGCAATTTCAATGATTGAGTCCGAGCTGTCTTTCACAATTGAAAGTAGTAATAGTTCCTGCTTCAGAGCTGTCGCATTAACAAGGCTGAAGGTACGGATCTACACTTTCTTTGTATTCTTTTTATGTGAACCTGCTTCGATTGACTTCTGTCAATCGAAGGTATGGCTCCTTTTCTTTCACTTTTCTTTTTCTTTTCACGATCTAATGTTCGTGTTTTTGGGAGATGCTGCCATAGCACAGTCCCAGGATTGGGTTTGAAAAGGATTTCGAATTTTGGGAGGCGACGGCTACCTCAATGGCAGATATCTCTGAGGTTAGGATTTAATTTCTAAAATTCTCCTATAAATTTTATTTCATAAATATTTCGCCTCTGGCTGACTCCTGACTTTTCTACCTTCTATATCTGTGTCCAATTGGGACCTGAATTTATTCTAAATTTTTTGAATTTGGGTAATTGTTCCCATCGACATCTAAATTTAATTTCCTCGATATCTAAGCCTGTTCTCTATGAGACCTCATCCTATTCTGTCTTTTAGAATTTTGCTTGGAGTCTCCTGGAGTCTCGCGGCCTCTCCCTACTCCTAGGGTTCCTCCTACTTCTCGCCCTTTTCGCATCGCCTAATTCTTCGGTTATTGTGCACGCGTCGATCGCCGTCTATTTCGCTCTCGCGCAAGCGCTCCCAATTTGCCCCGTTACAACTGTCCCCCCGAAGGATATTGAAATTTTCTGAAGGAAATTTCGATCTCCTTTGTCCCCTTTTTCCGCTTAGGTTTTGGGGATTCCGCAAATGATTACACATTGAGTTGGTTATTCTTAATTTATTTTTCTCGGCGGTGGTCTCACAACGTTACGATGGTACACGCAGATGGTCGGATCCGTAGGGTACGGTTCCCTCACATGCTCGATATTACTCTTTCGGTTACTCGCAACTATTTTTCGGTGCCTTTTCCATGCCTCTATATTAATTATGGGCTTTACTTCCAGATCTTTGATTGCTGGCTTCGCAGCTTTTGGCATAAATTTCATCATTATCATCTCCGTCCTCTGTGATGCTCCCAACTTGGCTATGGCCTGGATTGTATCCTCAAGATATTCGTCGAGGCTTTTCTTTATCTGGTTCTTAATTTCCATTTCTTCCTTTTGGAACTGGAAATACGCCTCCTCGGTTTGGGATTGTTTATGCTTGATCTGTG